AGACAAAGCTCTCTAGGACTGCACAGGAGCTTCTGGAGTCAGCATCTGAATTTTAAGGGCCAGTAAATTCCCCTTTTGGGAAAATACATCTTGAGGTAAGTTCTTGTCTCTTGCAATCATGAGTTCTGGCTGACACACAACTTTGGTTTCCATAGTGCCAAAGACCACCATCTTCACAGTGAAACTTTCCTAGACACTCCAGTGCAACTTTCTCAGACTTGGTCTGGGGAATGCTAAAAGCCTGAATTCCAGTATCATTATAGCTTCTGCCCCACTATGTTTATACTTCATGTCCACTTGTTTCAGGATGGTCTCTTTTGTCTCCAAGAACTGGTGGTAAACGATGGGCAAGAGATAAGGACTCAGTTTAATCTTTTCTTATGATTTCTTGAGACCCAACAGGATGCTATCCACACAGCAAACAGTTGTTGAGGATATGAATTATAAATGTAAAGATAATATTGATTATGAATCCAAGCAGAAGAGAGAGTGCCCTGTGGTAAGTGGGCAGTGGGAAGTCACCTGGTTAGCCAGGCTGGACAAGGAGAATGGACAGGGAAAACACATTTGATCACTTTTCCTTAGTTATAAAAGCTTCTCCTGCTTCTAACCCAATTTCTTTCACTCAGATTCTCCTTCTTCACAGATTTCAGTCTGACTCTGCCCACCTCCGGTACCGCTTTAAAGGTGACAGTAAACTTTCTGCCACTCTTCCCAGTAGAAATGTTCAGTCTTCATCTTGTTCTCTTAAAGGCAGCAGGCAGTTAACCAGTTTTTCCCCCTTAAAATCTCTATCCTTGGCTGGATGATGTTCCTCTCTCCTTATTTCCATCCTAAGTTCTTTGGTTGCTCATTTTCAGTTGAGGAGATCATTTCATCTTTCTCTGATCTTTAAGTGTTGGATTTTCCTGAAGTACAGGCCTGGGTTCACTCCCCCCCCCTTTTTTTTTTTTTACTAAGGAAAGCATACCCTTTCCTTAGGTGATCTCATCAACACTCATGGATTCAATTGCCATCTATGCGTCTATGCACTGACATTTTCCAACTTTATGTTTCAAAGCCAGATCTCTGAATCCCAGACACATGTTTCAATTACTTATTTGTCAACTTTTCTTTCATTTCAGAGCTGACAGGTCCTAAATTGATTTTTTTTTGGCACTACCGTGTGGACACCTGTTATGTCAGCAATACTGGAGTGATAAAGAAACAAGAGTCGTGGAACAGGCTGTGGGATACTCCATGCAGGATGCCGCTCAACAGCAAGATTTTGGCCTTTTTATGGACAGAGAAGGGTGGGTCAAACTGAAACTGGATTTTGGATGGTGGAGAGTAGGCCCTGAAGTGATACTTGCAGCTGCAGGGAAAAGGAAAGCAAAAGGAAAAGGTCTGTCTAGACCAAATAAGTTGTCATTCAGTTTTAAGTTGTAAACCTAAACTTTTGAAATATAATAGTTTATTTTTACATCATTTTGTGCCTTTTTCCATCTCAGGTGTAATCCCCGTGGGCTTCCCATCATCAAATCACCCGTGTGCCATCACCATAGTCCAGTGCACTCCCCCACCTCCATTTTTGATCCTATTCCCCACTCTCCCCCTGTAAAATGTCTCTGGTATATAATTGCTCATTATTATTATTTTCTCCCCTGGTCCTTTATACTCCTGCCATGAGTGAAACCATCTGGTATTTTTCCTTTTCTTTCTGACTTGTTTCATTAAAACTAAACTTTTAAGAGTTCATATCAGCCTCTTAGACTGGCTTCTCTTGGGCATGTTTCTCAACTGTACCTCATATGTAGAATAAGGCCTAACAGTGGTGAAGAGCACTGTGGCTTCTTGATAAGGAGTTAAGATACCGCTGGACACAGCTTCTCCCTTTCAAGTAGACTTAAAGAGGTTTGCCAACGAAGGTCTGCCTCCCTGCTTGGCAAGAAGCACAAGTATCACAAGGTCCTTCCATTGCTGGTCACAAAGCAGTTCTGAGGATATCTTAGAAGTCCTTAATCTTGACACAGTAAGAAATGTAGGTGACTGGTGGCCACCTAACTTATACTTTGTGGCACCACACTTTGAATGCAAATGTTCAGTTAATGACCAAAAGCTTCCATTTAAAACTCTGACTGAATAGTCTTTTGTTCTTACAACAATTTGGTGTGGTCTTGGTCAGATCAGGACCAAGGACAGCAGATATGGCCCCTAGGTGGTAAGAGAATGAACATGCCATCATGAGTAGCATATTGTAGCATAAAGGAAAATCACACACTGTTGACATAATTGGCAAAACTCAAGTGGGGTCTGTAGATTGGATCTTTATGTTGTTTCACTGCATGGCGAAAGAGTGGTGCTTCTGTTTTAGGGACATACACTATGAGCATGTGGTTGTGTTGGGGCATTCAATGTGTCTGTAAATGCTTCAGAGGATGACTAATGAAATGAAGACATACATACACACAGTCCCTGGACAAGTAGGAGCCCATGAGTCCTGTGGACTCCACTTTTGTGAATTACCTACTTACTAAATTCATCTGTAACTCCAGAATCAATCTTGGGGAACTCTGAGACATGTGCAGTGTGAAGAAATGCTTCAGTTGCCTGAGGAACACACTTCCTTCAGTGGTTAAGCAAGATATGATGTCTGCCTTTGAAACAGAGCAAGCAGGGGAGAGGGATGGCCCTGTTGGTGGGTCCTTGCCTAAACACTTACAACTGCAGAATATGACTCACAGGGAGAAATAACAGAAACAGGGTTTGCTAACAGGGAGTGAGAAATGGGAGACCTCAGGGACAGAGAATGTTTGACCTATTCCAGACAGTGTTCACGTTGTAGGGTCCAAGCCAAAAGCCAATTATGGAAGATGGCAGTTGTCCCCTAACGGAGGCAGAGGGGGCAAGAAAGTGCCCAGCTCCATGGAGAAGACGGAGCTGGTCCTCCTAAGAGAGGCTGAAGTCAGCTACACAATTGCAGGAAGACGAGACAGCCCTTGGTCCAAAGTCATGTATGGTCCAGATAGAGGCAAAGAGGGAAGAGAGGAGATCAGAATGCAGGGACCAAATGCCAGGCCAATGCCATCCACTGAGACAGAGCCCAGAAAGAGAGAAGCAGGTCCAGACACACTGCAATTCAGCCCCTGTGTCTTCTGATTCTAAACTCCCAAGGGGGCTTAACTTCTCAGCAGCTATCCACCCACCTCCCTCAACAATCAGAGGGGCAAGTTCCATCAGCCCTCTAGTGAGGAAAAGGGTACAGGGAAGACCTTCCTGCACCCTCAGGGAAGGCTGTGCAGACTGCCCCCAGAGCCCATGGGTGCAAGGCTTACTTACATTGGGGGTTTCCAGCACCTTGTTTCATAGTTGATATTTTAAACAAGGGCCCTTCCCGCACCTACTCAGTATGATTTGCAAGTTTTCATTTTTGCGCTTTCTGTGGAATTAAAAATGTCCAGCAATCTGTTCTACCAGTCAAATCCAATTTCCTAAGCACAATAAGTGATGTATATTATGAAAAAAACAAGTAACAGGTGAACTGAGTTCGAGCCTTGGATTAGGGTTTGCTGGCTATAAGTTCAATAATGAATCAATAATATCTATTAAGTAGATGTCTTTTTTTATTATACAAAAGTTTATTTTTACATCATTTTGTACATTTTTTTCCCATCTCGATTGTAATCCCCGCGGGTTTCCCACCACCAAGTCACCCGTGTGCCATCACCATAATCCCGTGCATTTCCCTCCCCACCCCCCACCTCCGTTTTTGATCCCATTCCCCACTCCACCCCAGGAAAATGTCTCTGGTACATGGTTGTTCATTATTTTTGTTATTTTCTCACCTGGTCCATTATACTCCTGCTATGAGCGAAACCATCTGGTATTTTTCTTTCTCTTTCTGGCTTATCTCACTAAGCATGATCTTTTCCAGCTCCATCCAAGTTGCTGCAAAAGACATGTGTTTCTCTTTTTTGGTTGCTGAGTAATATTCCATTGTATATATGTACCACATCTTTTTTATACAATCATCTTTAAGTAGATGTCTTAACAGGACCCACATAAAGTAGGGTTAACAACTGATCACTAGTGGCTCTCAAGAATGTATCTATAGGCCCTCCCTGGTGGCGCAGCGGGTTAAAGCATAGCACTGAGAGGCTAAAGCCACTTCAGCATGAGTTCGATTCCTGCCTGCCCCCGGAGGTGACCACATGGCATGGCAGACCTCTCCTGACCCGCCCGCTGCTCCCCTCAGCAGTGTACTTCGTAGGTCTGCCTGTTCTGCTCCCCGCTCTGTCTCTGGTGAATCCTCTCGCGGCCCCTAAGCCTCTGGCCTGTACCCCAGTTCTGTATGAACAAATAAATAAATCTTTTTAAAAAAAAGAATGTGTCTGTATTTGCTAGGGGATATCCCAATTTGGTGTTGGCTGGGAACCCAGAGCACATACATGTATAGAGCAGGCGAGGGTGTGATAAGGTAAATATGGTGGTTATCAATACTTGGGGAACCTACGAGACGGTGAACAGTTTTGACATGTTCTTGCAAACTTCCTTAGGTTTTTGACCGATCACTGTGAAATGTGTTAGAAATAGAGGCCTTTCACGTTTTGGAAACCACCAGAGAGACGCAATGGGCCCCTCCACCTCCATCCTGCTGACTCATCATCTGACAACGCAAGGCTAACCAGGACGTCCCCGCTTTGCTGAAACCCACTCCTAGGGGGATGGGGGTGGCCCCACCCCCGGGGGGTCTCCACCCTTCCCTACTCCCCTGGAGCTCCAGAAGCGGCTGTGTGGCGATTGCGGCCTATTTAACCAAGACTCAGTTTTCCCGCGCCTCGCAGCCGGCCCAGTGCGCCTGCGCAGGGCTCTGTCACCATGACGAAGCGGCTCAGAGAAGCTGCGGGACGGTTCGAGAAGGCCACGGAGGAGCTAGGAGTGGGCGGGCCTGTGGGGCCGCAGCGGAGCGGGATTGGTCGGCTCGGCGATGACGTTGTCGGGAACACCCGGGCGGCGGCGGCTCTCGGATCCCGCCGCTGCGAATAAATGGCAGAGAGGCGCTGGTGCGCGATGCTGCGCCTTCCCGCGGACTCGGACGGGCCTCGCTGCCGCCCGCGTCTGCGCTCCCACGTCCTCATCGCCGACGCCTCACCGGCGCGCCTCCGCGGCCGACCACCGGCAGGGAGACTCAACTTCCTGCCTCCCTCACCTCCTGCTCGCCTCCGCGGCTGCCCGTGGGGCGCCAGGTAGAGATCGAGCCCGCGGAGCCTGTGAGGTCAGGGGCGGGGGAGGGTATCTGCGGCGGGGACCGTGGTCAGAGAGGTCTAAGCGCCCCTCGCCGGCCGGACAGCGGCCCCGCGAGTCCGCTGCGTGTAGAACGCGAAGAGCATTAGTGTCTCCGCACAGCGACCCGGGGGTCTGGGGTGCAGACGTGTCGTCGGGGTCTGCGTCGCTTCCGGTCAGTTCTCGGTAAGGTTTCGGAACACCTGGGGTCAGAGCTTGCCAGGCTCCGATGCAGCGGTGGGCGAGCCCCACGGAGCCTCTGCGCCTGCTGGAGTCCATTGTAGAGAAGGAGCCTGCGGCTAGAAACCGAGGGAGGTATCGCTGCTGGGGAAGGAATTTAAATGATCCTTTAAGGGCCGTGGGTTTTTGGTGATGGTGTTAGGATAGGCCCTCAAGTAAGACGCAATCGGACAGGAGTGGTTGTTAGCTGGGGCCAGAGTATTCCAGGCTTAGGGCACAGCGCAGATGTTAGGGAAGTGGGTAGAGCTGATGGGAAGATTCAAAAAGATCGTGGGGACTTGGATTCTGGGAGGATCTAGAGTTTTGAGGGTTCGGTGGATACCAGAACCAGGGGACTTTGTGAGCCGTGCTGTGGACTTCAAAGTTTCTCTCAAGTCAGTAGTGTTGCCACCTGTCCCCTGTTTTCTGTGGTGAGTTAACATCTTGTGCTTCTCCCTGACCACTAGGTTGATTGTCATAAAGAATGAGTTATAAGTGAAGCACAGTGCATTAGGGAGTTAAATTAAGAGAGCAGCAAGGGGCAGAGTTGAATCTCCGTGGGGTAGTACAGTCAGCTGATATGACTCAGCACCTAGTAACAGTTTTGTTTTCATCCACGGGAGTATTTAACAGATAAAATTGAGTTTGACTTCACTGAGACTGTGATTTTAACTGGTAGTTGTGTAAATTGAATCTGAGAGCTTTTGTTAATGAAAATCTGAATTCAGGGTGAGCTCCATAATCTCGGAATTAAAGTGATTGGAAAACAATGTATCTTTTTTTTTAAAGATTTATTTATTTATTCATATAGAACTGGGGTACAGGCCAGAGATGCGGAGGGTGAGAGGATTCACCAGGAACAGAGTGGGGAACAGAACAGGCAGATCGAAGAAGTACACTGCTGAGGGGAGCAGCGGGCTGGTCAGGAGACGTCTGCCATGCCATGGTGATCTCCTCCGGGGCAGGGGGGGATTGAACTCATGAGGAATTGGCTTAAGCTTCTTAGTGCTGTGCTTTAACCCACTGCGCCACCAGGGAGGGCCAAAACAATGCTGTTGTTCCTGAATGAGCTGTTCTATATTTGCTGAAAGACAAGAGTATGATACTTCAGTCTAAGCCCCAGTGCCACATGGACCTTTAGTGCTCCCTGTAGAGAATGTGTTAATTTTCATTAGCTGTAAATTATAAATACTAGTGTCTGAAATTAGGGTACTTAATGCTTTTCTCCTACTTTAATTCTTGTAGGTGATTCTTCATTCTGCCATCTGTGTTGTGGACTCTTCTCATAATGGAGTTTCCTGATTTGGGGAAACACTGTTCAGAAAAAACTTGTAGGCAGCTAGGTAAGCACTTGTAAATGAATATTAATTTTAAAATGAGTGATTCATTGGCTGTTTGTGGGGGGACTTGGCCATTATATTACTTAGCTATCTTTACCTGGGTCTTGGCTTTTCAGCTTTGAGAATCTGAATCAGAAGTGTGGACTCTGGTCACCACTGTTGATTAACCTCTAGTGAATGCCAAGTGCCACACTAGCAGCCAGGGCAAGAGGATTTGCTACTTAAAGCAGTGGAATTTGCTACTTAAATATTCCTTAACACCACAGGACATGGATCTCTCTTGAAAAGATAACTTTAAAGTTCTTTAGTGTTATTATACTGCAAAGTCCATAACTCCAAAATATTTTTCTGGTGTGTGCTGCTTCAGGGATGTCTTTATCTTGATAGGCATAAAGTACTCAGTGCAGGTGAATAATTGTGTATTTGATTTATATTTCTTTGGTTCTGGTTCTGCTATTTAAAAATACTGGTTTTTTTTTTTTTTTTAGATTTTCTTCCATTAAAATGTGATGCATGTAAACAAGATTTTTGTAAAGATCATTTCACATATGCTACACATAAATGTCCCTTTGGATTCAAGAAGGTAATTTAGCATTTATTTAAAGATTCTAACCTGTACCCTTTTCAAGCCACACTGTCTGAACTAGTGGACACAAGCTACATGTCATTTATAACTTAATTAAAATTAAATAAGACATAAAATCAGCTTTGAAGTCACAATATTTTGAGAACTCAGGTACTCTGCATGACTGACTTGTTGAATAGGACAGGCAAGAAACCTTTCCTGAGTCTCAGAAAGTTCTAGACAGCACAGCTCTGAAGCAACAGATTGTATTTTCAGGAAGTTGTGGAGTCAAGTTGTCCTACCTGCAGAACTTAAACCTCCTGTGTTAAAATACTTGTTTCTTTGATCATTCTACTGAGGAATGGGACATGGGATCTAATCTGGAAAGTATTAATAACACTACTTACCTGGGCAATTTCCCAACCTTGACCTGATAGGTGATTCAGATAGTATGATACAAACTGGAAAATGACTTTCAGAAACTGAAAGAAGTCCAAAGTTTTTAAGATGTCTGTGGTTGACAGACATTAGGTGGTTCCCAGCCTGTGTTCTTACTGTTTCAGGATGATTCACAGATTATGAGTCTACTCTTTATATAAGCAATTTGTTACTCTGTCATGGTAGCAGAAGTGTGAATGATTTAGCATTCCAGCGTTGGCCTGGATCTGACTTTCCAGCTTTTTCTAGATCATTGTAAGGCATTTGGGAAGGTGACTCATTCCTTATGTTTACCAAGTACTGATGATTAGGCTAAACTGTCCAGCTTATTTGTTGAGTTAGACTTCCTGATTCCCTAGATAGGTAGAATCTGCCTAGAGGTCATTTAGCAATGCTTTAGTTCTTAAATTTGGCAGCTTTGCCAGAGTTCTAGGTCACTTTCCCACTTGATTGGATCATTCTGTGATCTGTCATCTCACTTTTCTCAAGAATTTCCTCAACTCCTACCCTGGCTAAGAGGTTGTGTGTGTGTGTGTGTGTGTGTGCGGTAACAGGTCTGAGCATTCAGCTGCTGGTTACCCCTTTTCCTTCCAGAGCCCCGCAGTCTGGGCCGGGTGATGGTTCTGGTAGTTAAGCCTGTGTGCTGCTCCCTTGTCAGCTCATGAGTGGATTTCAGTGTGTGGGAAACCACAACAGGATCAGAAAGAACTGGCAATGGAAGTGAGCTGGAAGGTTTTCATGGCCGGTGTTTTCTTCACTCTCTTCCACTATGAGGTGTGGGACCTAGGCGGTGCTGGCCAAATAGCCCCACTGTCCTGAGATCGTTGAGACTGATTTTTTCCACTCCCTTCCTCTTGTCCTTTACTAACTGTGCCTGGGTCATTTCCACAGTTAACTTGTAGTCCCTGGTGTTTACATTCCCCTAGAGTCTAGTAATCCATGATACCACCAATACTGCCTTCTTGTGAGTGATCAGAGTACCAGTGTTTGTACTTGGCTTTGAAAATGCCTTCAACCATTGTATCTTTTGTTCTGTGAGTTTTGAATATGTGAATTTGGAAACATCATTTTACATTTATTATTTTTAGGATGTTCGGGTCCCAGTTTGCCCTCTTTGTGATAACCCAGTCCCAATAAAAAAGGGAGAGGTACCAGATGTGGTGGTCAGTGAGCACATGGATAGAGACTGTAAATATCATACTGGGAAGAAGAAAGAGAAGGTAAGGACAGATTCTGGTCAACTCTATGACTGTTATTGTTTTCTTAGGGGAAGAGAGATAGTTATGAAAGTGAACTGGAATAATTTATATTCAGAACAAACTCCTAACCACATCGCCCTGTTTTTCTGTGTTGTGAATGCTGTAGGTTTTTACAGTCGTGTAAACAGTCCCTATGTGTTAAGGTCTACGTTCAGGTCTGCTTTCTTTACAGAAATTTCACTTTCCCTCCCAAGACGTAGTTTTCTAGAATCATTCTGTTATCATGCATATTTAGTTTCTAAACTCCTCCTAGGAAATTTAGGCATTCAATGTTGATTCTTTAGGTAGTGTTAGTAAATTTCTTGAAATTGTATGTTTGTTCACTCAGTGTAAAGCAAAACCGTAGGTCCCTATTCCCGTAGCAGCCACTTTTCAACTCTCGGCCAGTTTTGTTTGTCTGGCACTGTATCTGTGAATGTCTTATTCACACTTTTGTTGCAACTATGCTATTACATACTCACCATAGTGCAAGCTGAGGGGGGAGTGCCTGTTCCCTATTCTGACACTCAGACACACTTCCTCCATCCCCCTTCCAGCAGCTGACATCTAGGTGAGATTTACAGGCCTCTAAACCTTGGGACCAACAGACATCAAGCAACTCTTTGCATTTCTCTTACATGAATCCCACTTGCCTGTATTTTCCTTACAGGGGGTCCCTGGTTTCTTGCATTTTTTTTTTATTCTTCATTTATTCCCTCATTTGGTGGAGACACATCCTTCCATTGCTTCCTGTGAGGGAGAATGGAAGATAAATTGAAATCGTGTGTTTCTCAAAGTGTTCATTCTCCATTTCTGCTAGATTAGCTGCCAGGGTAGCGTCCTCACTTGGAAGTCTTCCCATATTGTTTGCAGGCATTGGTTGGTTTCCTTGCTTTTCTCTGCTGCTGCTTTATACATGTCTGTAGTCGTTCTGCCGTAGTGCTTTGTGGGACACCGTTTACTTTGCATGCTTCGAGGAGCTTCTCTAGGTCCCAGAGTTTCTACCTGTCCTACTGAGCATGGAGGGGGCCCTTCCAAGCTAGAAATTTCAGTGCTCCTATCTGGAATGTCATCTTTGATTCTTCATTTCTCTACACTCCTGTCGCTGAGGAACCAGCTCTCCCAACAGGTCTTCTTGGTGTGTGGTCTGTGTCTGGGTGTCTTCCTGTGGCACAGGACATGGGCTTTATGTGCTGGGTGCTAGCCTGTCACACAGTAGGGGCAGTGTGGACTTGGGCGTTCTCTGAGGTCATCTGCCTAGCCCACTTCTTCAGGAAACCTGGCAGGTCTGAGTCTTTGGGTCTTTCTCTTGGGCTATCAAATGCCCAGAGAAAGTTTTCTGTTCCCCTATTTGGAGGGTGCCCTCCTGTCTTCTAGGACTCTGGGAACCAAGTAGAGAAAGTAGCCAGAGCCCCACATGGAGCATAGTCCTTACTGGCTCCAAGGACAGTCCACCCCTGCTGTGCTTCCAAGGCGCAGCCGCTCCCCTGATGTGGAGTAGCTTCCTGCTGGTGATGGGTGGATATGCAGTGACTTAAGCAGGCCTCTCATCCGTTACCATGAACTTCTGGTCCTGCTGATTTCTGAGCCTTTGGGGTTTTGTTTCAATAAATAAGCTTGCTTTTTGGTGTAATGTACCCAGCTAGTTTACAATTTAACTTCTCATATCTAACAAATCAGTTACTACTCATCTTTGTATTTTTTTGTTATTTCTAAGATTTCAATTTCCTTTTATTCTTGGCCCTTGTAGGTTTAACCTTGTTCAGAAAGTCTCTTATCTACCATAATCTCAGCTTTTTGAAGGGTCAGAGCTATAGTGTGTGTGTGTATAGTCCCATCATTCTGTATCTTCTCCCGGGATCACAGCATTTCAGAGCTTCTCAGCCTCTGCTGTGCCCTCCCTGATGCCTCCTCCCCGAAGGCCCTTTCCTCCCCAGAGACCCTTCTGTTCTGTGCTGGTTGTTTTTCCAAGACTGGCTGCTTGCCCAGAAGCACTGCTCCCCACCCGGTTCTGTTGCTCTTCAGAATAAGTACGTAGGCTTTTTAGAAAGTTTATCTGTAGAAAATTGGTTTTTGTCAGTTTGTCACACTTCTAGCCACGGATCCTGCTTTGTAGTTATTAACGACTTTAATGTTATATTAGATATAGGTTAGTTACCTTAGCATTACAACTAATAAATGTGAGGCCCGTTGACTCTTATTTTCTGTACTCAAACATGGAGTCAAATCTATTCCTTAGTCTACACAGAACCCTTGTGGTAAGCTTACTTCATCCCTCCCTTCTTGACCCTACACTTCCATGCTGCTGTTGCTATACACCCCTGTGTTTTGCTTCTCAAACCTTCTGGAAGTTCCTTTACCCCTCCTTTTCTCTATATAAGATATACCTCACCTGGCATGCCTCCCTATCAATTTGACACAGTCTTCTTCATTCTTAAGTCAACCCAGATTTACTACCCAGACCCTCCCCTTCTTCATCACTCTGATGTAGTGACCCACCTCCCCCCCCCCCACACACACCACATTCCCCTGGAGCATTGCTCTCCACTGTTGGCATGTGCCCAGGTCACTCTGCCCATCTGCCAGAGAGCGACCTGACTTCCTTACCTTCCCAGAGTTGGAATACCTGGGACTATACCAGCACCATACCTTCCCCTGATAAACACCAATAACTTACAGGTGTAGGGGCTATAGATGGGTGTTCTGGTTCTCTTGCTTTTGGTGGGGACAATGTCCTCTGACCCTGAATCCAGCTGCTCTCTGGAGCTGTGTGTGAGATGCTGCCTCCTGGCCCCCTCCCCTTCACATCTCTGATCCCCACTCTCCTGGGTTGGGGTTTTTGTCCTAAGGACCAATCCCCAACTTACTGTGCTACTTTTGTATTTATCACTTGCCAAAATCTTACTTTGTCTCTTAATCAGTATTCATTTCTTTACTGACACAAAACTGTTTGAACCTTTGACATCTTCACTTTGTGTTTGTGGTTTAAATGTTAATGGTTTTCTTGGGGGGGCTTGATAAATAATAAGCTTACTCAAGTAGTTATCATTTAACTTTTGCTTTCTCAGATTTTTTCATATCGGTGCTCAAAAGAAGGATGCAAGAGGAAAGAGATGTTGCAGGTGGCATGTGGCCAGTGTCATGGCAATTTTTGTATTCTGCACAGACACCCTCTGGATCACAGCTGCCAACACGGGCGCCCCCCAATCAGCGCAGCCGGGTGAGAAGAGTCTTGGCTACGGTGCCTGCAGACTTGAGTGACAGAGTAGCCTTTGAGCATTGTTCCAGACTACAGTTGTTAAGCTTTTGCTGTAGGAGTTTGGATGAACATAAGCCCAATTAAAATTGGAATCTAAATTAAAGTTGGATTTTAGTTGTATTGTTTCCTGTGACTTTCCATAACAAAGTAGCCACATTTGGGTGGAACCTGAACAGCAGAAATTCATTCTTTCCAACCCATGGAGGCCAGAAGCCCAAGGTCAAGGTGTCAGTCAGCAAGGTTGGTTCCCTCTGAGACTGGGAGGGGTCTGTCTCAGGCCTCTCCCAGCTTCTGCTGCTTGCTGTCTGTTTTTGGTGTCCCTTGATTTGTAGCCACCTCACCCTGATTTCTGCCTCCATGTTCACAGGCTTTTCTCTCTCCCTATGTGCATTTCTGTCCAAACGCCCAGTGTTTATAAGGACCCCTGTCATGAACTGTCCTCATTTGCTCCGGTCTAACCCTATTTTAACTAATTGTACCTGCAATGGTCCTATTTCAAAACAAGGTTACAGTCTCTAGGTTTAGGTCTTCAACCTATCTTTTTTTTTTTTTTAACCACCTTTGCACCTCTAGCCTGTACCCTAGTTCTGTATATATAAATAATCTTTTTTTTTTTAATTCAACTGGCACAATTCAACCCTTACATTATTATTATTAATCAGAAGTGTCTTTATCAACTTGAATAAAATGGAAGCATAAGTTACTTTTTAATTACACTTAATTGTTTTTCTTGTCTGTATCTGAGTGTCTGAGCAATTAATTGTATATGTTCTTTCTTGGTAAGCAAGGACTGGGTGAAAGTTGATCTAACCTTTCTGTGTAGGTGTTCAGCTGCGCAAGCCTCTGAATCCAAGCCATCTGGAACTTTACACAAGCGGACTTGTAGTTGGCTATTTAAGCGACTCAGGTATCAGTCAATACACAGTGCATGGATAAAGCGACTTTCGTGTGGGTGTGGTAATAATCCCTGCTGAAGATTGCTGGAGTGTAGTTACTGACTATCTGAGATTATGAGCTCCATGGGCATATAATGTAGTCATGAGGGGAAGGGAGTACAGAACTTGAACTTTAGCTTTCTCAAACCCCAAATTACAAGTGCAGTTAATACCAGCACACAGTGTAGTCAAGCAGATAATAGTTTATAACTGGTTGCTGAAATGCCCTATTTGGCGTAGATCTTTTATGTGAACTACCCATCAAGACAAACCTAAAATGAATAAGCTATTTTATTCTCTTTCAGGTGGAAAGTGAAGAGATGACAGTACTGTAGCTGTTCAAACTGGCATATTAGCTAAGTTTAATTTATTATTTTCACTTTATAGGTAATGTGTGCTATAGTGCTCTCATACTTCCACAGCTAACAGTTGAAAAAATTTTTAAAGTGTTTCCAATAAAATACATAAGCTCATCTGGTAAAATAGACAACCAGAAGAATAATAATAGTATTTCAAAGTAAGCTAGACTACTAAAATAACCTTGTCACTCACCCCCCCCCCCATAAAAGAAAGTAGCTTGAAGAGCAAAGAATTAGTACCGAAGCCAGACCTAGACTTCCAGAAGCTTCTCTCACTTAACATATAGCAGACCGACATTCTGTCTTTATCATGCAGCTTCTGTGGTGATTGGCCATATGAGTCCAGAAAAGGAAGTAGTCCTTCTGCCTCTGTTGTCAAGGTTCCTTGTCCAGAGGTGGCCCCATCCAACCAACCTCATTCATTGACAGCAGTCTGTTACCATATTGACTCCATGCAGTGGACTTGGATGGATCAACTTGGTACAAGTCAAGAGAGCTTTCATCACCTGGGCCTGAGTGTTAAGAAATGGTCTAAAACAAGGTGCCACACAGGTTGAGTCCTGACCTTAACCCACTGGTAATCCACTAGTGCATTCCAGACTCTGCTGACACTATTGTTCCTGGACTAACAAAAATCTGATTTTATAACCTCAAAATGGAGAAAAATTGTAGTCAGTTTCCTTTCCACAAACAGGTGATGGAAACTGTTTCTGCCTTGGTCTTATTTAGTGATACTTAGATTGGACATAGGACCTGAAACTTGGGCTGCATCAGAGTCCCATGGGGGACTTCCTAAACCAGATTGCAGGGTCCATTCCAGAGTTTCTGATCCTGTGGGTCTGGGGTGGACCCTGAGAATTTAGCTTCAAGGTGACCTGATACTGCTGCTCTAGGTACCACATCTGGACAGACCTTCCTGCCTCTCCATTGTGCAGAACAGCCAGGAGCCACATGTTATGGAGAGTGGAAAACATAGATAGCATTGTGATTCAGTTACTAGGAAACTTTTAAGTGTGTTAGGAACTCAGGTATGTGAATCTAATGTTTCAACTGTAAATTTTATAGAATGCAAATATAGGTCAGGTCTTTTTCATGAAAATATAATGTCTAAATTGAGATGTATCAAAACAAGGATCTAAAGTACACTGGACTTTGAAGACATCTAGAAAAATGTGCAGTATGTTTGTCATTGTCTACATGTCTAAGATGATAATACTTTGGATATAACATTAAATAAAACATTAAATTCTTTCTTAAGATTTACTTATTTATGCATACAAGAACTGGGGTACAGACCAGAGGTGTGGCGAGGGTGGGGGATGAGGTGAGAGGATTCACCAGAGACAGAATGGGAAGCAGAACAGGCAGATTGACCAGAATACACTGCTGAGGGGAGCAGAGGATGAAACAGAAGATGTCTGCTGTGCCATGTGGGTCAGCGCTCTGTCTGGGAATCAACCTGGAAAAACAGTTCAGCTCTGTGCCCTACCACCTGAGCCCAACTAAAGCAAGAAGGTGACTGCTGGCTCTCTGGTTTGTGGGCTGCAGTATCAAGGGGTGTTCATAAGATGTCACCCAAAGGCCTTCCTCTAAATCACCAAGAGGATGGACTGCCGAGTCCTGGTTCCTAGAGGGAAGCTGGGTGCAGTATCCCAGAAGGGGTGGCTATAACCAGCCCCCATGCATCAATCACTATGTGTAGATCACTTTTTTCCCCTCTCAAATTTATTTGCCAATTGTTTACATAACTATAGGAAGTACAATGTCCTGGTGGGAAAAATTGCTCATGTTGCTCCTAGCCCAGAGACCCTGGAGGTGCATGACTCATCACCACTGGCTGTGCTAGTGGTCTCTTCTTTACTGGGGGTTGGAAAAGGCTTTCTCATAAACAGATGTCATGAGGAAATTTTTACTACATGTATAGTGATAAAGGACGTTAATGGTGACATGAGCAAGATCGAAGGACAAATGACAAGCTAGGAGAGAACATTTGCAACTTAGACCACAGCTGTCTAAGGGAGATCTCTCTAGTATATAAAGGACTTAAACCTTGAAGGAGAAAAGGTCAGGAACAAGATTAGAAGACAGGTGAAGGATATTTCATGAAAGAGTTATAAGGAAGATCCTTGGCCATGTACAAGAAAACAACTCATTCTGGAGAGATGCAAATTAAAGCCAAACTGCAAATTGACAGTAACCAGAGTTACTATTTCTTAGCTGAGATTTGCAAACATTTAAACTTGGACAACATGCTCTGTTGGCAAGGCTGTGAAGCAACAGAAACTTCCACACAGTGGAAATGCCAAATGACACACCAGGATAGTGGAAAATTTGGCAATTTCTAGCAAAACCATTGTCTATTGAATTCTCCACTTCTAGGAATCTGCCCTAAAGGTATTCCACAAACTAATAAAAAATATGTACAAACTTATTCATTGCGGTGCAGTTGAGAATTGGAGCACACATTTAGTGGCTAAATGAACCTGGGACCCCGGGGAGTGCCATGAGGCAAGGACAGAACATGTCTGTAAACTGGTGGAAGAATTCCAGGAGGTGATGTCACTTGTAAAAGAAAACAAATAAGTACATTTCTGCATATTTTTTGCTAAAAAATGCAAAAAAGATAAACCAGAAATTATAAGGTTGGATGCCTACATGGGGCAGGGAAAGCAGAAATGAGGTAGAGTGGAGAAGGATGATGCTTTTTTGAGTATTTTTGTGCAGTTTTAACTTGAACCCACGTTAGTGTTGTACATGTTGAACAAAATGGCTGAGGTAAGGGGAGCCCCAAGACAGAAGACAAGCAGAAAAAAGTGAACCTAGCTATCTTTTAATTGATTAGCATAATTGAATCAATGGAGAAACAAATTGCACTTTCTTTTTTTTAAGATTTATTTATTTGTACATACAGAACTGGGGTACAGGCCAGAGGCTCAGGGGCGGTGAGAGCCTTCACCAGAGACAGAGTGGGGAGCAGAACAGGCAGATTGACGAAGTACACTGCTGAGGGGAGCAGCGGGCGGGTCAGGAGAGGTCTGCCACGCCATGTGGTCACCTCGGGGCAGGCAGGAATTGAACTCATTGTGGAAGTGGCTTTAGCTTCTCAGTGCTGTGCTTTAACCCACTGTGCCACCAGGGAGGGCCCGCACTTTTTTTTATTGTGGTAAAAAACACAACTAGTTAACTGTTCACTGCCTTAAATTGCATAATTCAGTGCCATTATGTACATTCATAATGTCCTGAAACCATACCACCTGTAGTTCTGGAATTTTTTTTTCCAGATTATTTTCATTATCCAGGAGGAATCTCATATCCTTTAAGAAATCACTTAGCATTCCTCCAGTCTGCACTCTGCAGCACCAGGAAATCACTAGTCAGCTTTCTGTCCCTATGCAATGGCCCATTTTAGCATTTCATATATGAAATTATACAATATATGATCATGACTGGCTTCTGTGTCTTGGCATTATGTTTTCAAGGTTTATCCATGGTGTTGTGTGTCTGTAATTTGTTCCTTTTTATGACAGTAGTATCCCATCATATGGGTACACTGCATTTTGTTTATTTACTCCCCACTTGATGGACATTTGGGTTGTTTCCATCTTTTGGTGGTTGTGAGAATTGCTGGACTGAACATTTGTGTATGAGGTGGGTTTTTTTTTTTTTTTGACACCTGTTTTTAGTTCTGTGAGATCTGTATGTAGGAGTAAAATTACTGGGTTATACATTAGCTCTGTTAACTTACAGAAGAACTTATAGAAGAAATTGTTTTCCACAGTGGCTGCACCACTTTATATTCCTACCAGTGAGCATGAAATTGCATGTTCTCATCAACACTTTCCTGTTGTTAACTTAGTTACAGGCATCCTAATGGGTGTAAGTGAGGTGCTATCTCATTGTGGCTTTGGTTTGTATTTTCCTAATACATAATGCTGTTGACCATCTTTTTATGTGCTTATTAGCTATTTGTCTTCTTTGGGGGAAGTGTCCTTTGCCCACTTTTAGATTGGATTATTTGTCTTTTGGTGGTTGGGTTGAGTTTTTCACATAGTCTAGATAATAGACCTTTATTATTTGCAAATATTTTCTCCGGTTCTATGCTTATCTTTTCACTCACTTGATAATGTTCTTCCAAGCACAAAAGTTTTCAATTTTGATGAATTTCAGTTTGGTTGTGCTTTTGGTGCCATATCTAAGAATCCATTGCCAAGTTACGGTCATGAAGAGTTCTGTCTGTGTTTGGCTCTTACATTTAGGTCTTTGATCTATTTGGAGTACATTTTTTCCTCCTACCACCATTCTTTTGACCTCCCTTTCAACTCCTTTTTAGCCTCAGAAGCCTTCTTTCAGTTATCCATATCAGCTAGTTTGTAATTATGTTGATTTGTCAGTTTATTTGCTTTGATTTGTTATTTTACTCATATATGTGAAATGGTCCAATATTTGTCCTTATCTTTCTGACTTTGCTGCACATAATTTCCTTGACTCCTTCCATTTTGCTATTAATGGTAAGAGTTCATCTTACCTTATAGCTGAGTAGTATCCCATTGTGTGGTTATACCCCATCTTCTTTGTTCAATCTTTATCTGATTCACCTTCAGTGGGCTTGTTGCATCCACAACACCGCACTGATAAAGAAAAGAAACAGGAATGGTGGGGCAGGCTGTAGGTTGCAAGAGCAAAATTCTTTTTATTGACAGAGAAAAGGGTGTGTCAAACTGAACACTGGATTTAGGGCGTTAGGAAGGGTTGAGCCTGATGATATAATCCTGACTGCCACCCATGGCTCCAATCTTATTAACAAGGTATTCCACTGATCAGTCCCTGGGGCACAAAGTACATCAGTCAATGGCCCCCTGGAAGTTCCTAGTCATACCGCATGATTTATACCTATTGCCCCAGGGTGATCAAGCTTCCTGCTCTTGTCTAACTTGCAAGGAGCCTTGTACACCCACATAAGCTATTATAAATAATGCTGCAATAAACGTTGTGGAACATACAGTATTTTGAGTTGATGGTTGCTGGTTCTCTGAGTAGATACTCAGAAGTGGGATTGATGAGCCTGGAATTTCCATCATTGTTTTTTAGGGTAAGTTCAGACCTTCTTCTAAAGTACCTGCACTAGTTTACATTCCACCAACAATGCATTAGTGTCCTCTTTCTCCACATCCTCTCTAGCACTTGTTGGAGGTGAGATGATACCTCATTATGGTTTCTACTTACATCTCCCTTATTAAAAGTGAATGTGAGCATTTTTCCATATACTTGTGGACCTTCTGTATATTCTTTTTGGTAAATTATCTTCTCAGATCTTCCCATTGGAGTTAATTTTTTTAATATGGTATCACATAAGGATCCAAGTTCCTCTTTTCCATGTGGACCTCCAGTTATCCCAGCACCATTTGTGTCCCTTTGCTATATTGCTATCTGTTTTGTTGTAGTTAGCATTTTCTTACCAAGTGGCCTAATGAGATACTCCGGATTGATCTTGTCTTTCCCTGCCCATGTCTGTACCATCAGACCTATATCCCCTACACTCTAAGTTATCCTAATGGGAATGGTATTTAGAAACAAGGTCTCTCTGGGTGCTAGAAGTGCTCACTGCTTCTAATGTCACTGCTTCTAGGTCCTTTTAGCATTCACAGCTGTATTTGCTGTATCCTCTATGACTTGAGATGACTTTCAAGGACTTGAACATGGTAGTGACCTTCAGGAAAGAAGATAAAGATGCCAAAACCAGCCTTGATAGCATATCTAGGGAGGGTGTGATTGGATGCTTCCTAATCTGGTGTGTAGTTCTCTACAACAGAGGCATGGCTGCCCTCCAAACCTCAAGGTCCTGTGCCAGAGGTCCCACACATTCTCATCTACCACACACTCCTGGATCTTACAAATTACATGTCTCGGTACTGCAAACTGGATCTGCTTCAGAGTTTTTGCTTTGGGCCTCACTCTCTCCTCACACACTCCAGGTTACCCAATAAATTAGTGGTGGCTATATTAAATAGGATTAGCTGCCTCCCAAATCCCAGGGATCAGACAAGGGAAGTAGAACTCTTTCTTCCTGGCATAAGATTGTGTTTGTTTTCTGTTTATGCATAACAAATTAACATAAAATTTAGCGTCTTAAAACATTCATTACCTTACAGTCTTTGCTGGTTGGGAATGTGGCTGTGGCTTAGCTCTCTGACAAAATTGTAATCAATGTATCTATTGATGTTTTATGTTTCAACCCATTTCCAATCTCTGTCACATTACTACTAAGATTCCCTTCCTGAGGGCCACTGGACTAAGGGACTCAGTTCCCTGTAGACTAAAGGTCTCCCTGAGCTGCCTGGGCCTCTGCTCTGTGGGCCTCATGGAAAGATAGTCCCCTGGCTTCCCTCAGGGTATTTGGGGTAGGACACTTAGTCTGAGGTCCACACCAAAGCCATACATGGCAAGCTGGTGTCTTCTCCATAGATACCCTCACTAGCGGTTTTCCAAAGCCCCAGAGATTTAATTACCGAAAATTTCAGCAGCTATTCTTCCCATAGGCGCTGCTGGGCTTAGAAGGTGGAGTCTGGAAAACGACCTTCTACCTCAGTTGGCCATGAGCTCCACCTGCTGGCTCAGAGGTTGTTCCTTACTGTTCCTCTTACATTTGGTCCCATATTTCACTGTGAAATTAGCACTCTGATGCTATTAAGTTGATTTTTAAAAAATGATTCTATTTGACCAGCATTTTAACTTTCCTTGATGGGAGGCTGAGCTGAGAACAAAACTAAACAATATATTATTAATATACCTACATATTTATTTATTGCGTAAGCTAATGTGTACCAAGAAAACTTTTTTCTTGGTAAAGCCAATCAGAGAAGTTTGAAAACTGGTTTTTCCCTTAGTGAATAAAATCGACATGTTTATGTCTGTGGCTCAGAAAATCTACCTGTATGTGCCCATAGACTTGTATCTGCTCAGAAGTTTGATTATACATAGTTTGTAATAGCACACAATTATAAACAAACTAAACATAAGGAATAAAAGTAGAGAATACTGGCTTGTAATAGTTCCCTCTTAAAAAGAACATTCCCTTGATTCCACATTCTCTTCTGTATGACAGCCCAGTTCAAGGTTCCCCACCTTGAAAGTTAGTTACACAAGCTCCCTTTCCTTCCCTTTACACAAACTGGAAAGTGATATAAATCATGAAACCACCCAGATGGTTAATTGTACCGATTTACTTCTGACTTTAAACACTCACATTATCTTTTATTCATTTTTAGTCTTTTCTACTTGGTTTTTAAAACCTGAGTCTTATGTCTGAGGCATTACACACTGGTCGGGAGAGAGACCGTGGTTCATTTAATTCAGCAATTCCACGCCCTAACCGAGTGCCATCAGCATGCTGAGGGCCCAGCGTGGGGCGGTTGCTTTGGCAACCGATGGCGTCTACGGATGACGCCACAAGCTCGCGCCGGGTCCAAGCACTGAACCTTCCCGATTGCCCCTTGCCATTGGCCAGCGGCTAGACCGGGGTGGGCCTCGACCAGTGGGCGGTGCCATTCCGGAAGGCGGGACTTGTTGCCTGGGCGCCGCGGCTGCCGGAAGCCTGGTTCGCTGACCGCGCGAAGGTAAGGTTGTGGTGGGGGTGGGGGTTGGGGCAGCGCTGGTCGTGGGGGGTTAAAAAGGGCATGGAGTGGCGGGGTTCGGAGAGCGGGTATGGGGGGATCCGGGGATGCTAGGGTGGTGGGGAGTCGCGGGGCAGCTGGAAGTTGCGGGGCGGTGGGGGCCGCGGGGGCGGGCCTCCACATGGGTTCGCAGGGAAGGGGAGGCGAGGGCTTGGGATGACCAGGAGGTGGCGGGATGAGCTGGAGTGTGCGCCTCCGAATGGGCTCTGGGGACCAGGATCGCGGGATGGACAAGGATCGTGGGACCGGGGGTGGTGGGCGAATGCGGAAGGTGGCAATTCAGATGCTGCCCTGCGGACTGCGTGCAGATTTTTAGCCGGTTCCCAGTGTCTTGGCTTGCGGACATTGCCTCTGGTCCCTAATTTGTAAAAACGCCGGTGGAGTCCTCCGGCGCACTGTCCAGGACTGACAGACCTCCGACCTCGTGAGCTGACCTTCGGTAGGGGAGGCAAGGGTAAATGAATAGGATGGTGACAAGTACCAGGGAGAAAAGTAGAACTGAGCAGGTCACAGCTGCGTTGTAGCTGGGGTACCCGGTAGAGGAAATAGAGATTAAGGGTGCAGTCAGGAAGGAGCCCCATGTGGCTGGAGCAAATTGAGCAGGGAAAGATGGAAAATAAGGTTGGGAGTGGGGCCACTGACCCTCTGTAGGACAAGCAGATACTGCTTGAGGGCTTGGAGCATATGGAACTGAGTTTTTAGCATGAAAGTTTTTGAATGTTGAAGTTGGTTCAGAGTAAGGAATGGGGGGTTGTGAGGGAAGGTTCTTTGCGAGGCAGTCTTGAGCAGACAGGGTGGAACACAGCACACAAGTAAAGGATTTGGCCTTGTTGGGGGCAGGGGCAGCTTCTCCATTGTAACAGGTAGATGTGAGCACTGGTGGAAGTTCCCTTCTATGGCTTTTGGTTTCTCAGTGATCAGGAGGTAAAGTCCTACTGCAAGCAGGGAGAGATGTTGGGATCCTGGGTGGAGCTGCTGGATGGCACTGAAGATTCCTTAAGTCTGGGGACTTTGGAATTTGAGGTGTGACAGCCCGCCTGATACTGGGTTTTTTTTCCAGCCAGAAGGTGTTTGAGCTGAGATTTTGCAGAAAAGCACCACAAAAGGAGAAGAGATTATCAAAGGCCTTGGAAATGAAGTGGTGGGAGTGAAGATATGAGAGGGTGAAGGCACTGAAAGGTGTTAGTGTTGCAGGCCTTGGTTCACTGAGGGATTATTGGGCTCCAGAGTGCCAAGGGGAGGTGAACTGTAAGTGGGATGCCAAGTTACTGTTGCCTGGAGTTTGGTGGAGGGAGGGAAGGGAACTTTGTCCAGTGGGGTACCACCTCCCAAGACACATCTGAAGTAGCTTAGATGTGCTAGGAGAGAGGGGACATCTGGAGCTCTAGATGGCACTTTTGGATTTAAAACGGATTTCCCCCCTTTAGACCCATAGGTTTTCTCAGCAATGGAAATCTACCAGCCTCAGCCTGATGGTGCTGGCAGCAACTAAAGCAAAACAGTCGTCCTTAGCTTCTTCCCCTGCGTCTGTCTGCCCTGGCAAACAGCATTCTGCCATGCAATGACTTTCTTCCTTCATGGAGCACTTGACCTTACATCTTTTTTGTTGTTTTCTTTTTTGATTACAATACTGTATATGATTTTGGGGAATAGGTTTATCTTCTCAGGTATGTGAAGCTACTGTCTTAAAATAAGTTTTTTCCCCTCTGCTTTTATTATAGAAATTGTGGAACGGGAACAGTCTTAAACTTTTACTTCCTGGAATGTTAATACTTTCATGTATTTTCATCTAGTTTTTTTCCTTTGTGCATATTTTATATGATTTTTTCTTACAAAGCGAGAGTCATTGGTCTAGCTATAGAATTATTCCCCATCTTTGTCCGTTACCTAGTGTTACAGGCACTGCTTGCTCCTCTCTGACTCTGTGAGATCTGGTTGTTCGGGTTGTAAAGGCCTGTCCTTTGTGGGAAAGAGTCCTTTATGTTCCCCTTCTGCTACATAGCATTACTGTGTTTTCAACTTTTTAATATCAGCAATATCATCTTTTCTATCATTCCATTATCATCCTCATATGGAAGTCTGTCCATGATTATTGTATGGGTAACTTCCCAGAAGCGGAATTGCTGGACCGAAGCACATGATAAATGTTATAGAACTACTTTCAGAAGGATTGTACTAATTTATTCTTTTCATCATTCTCTATCACTTAATAACATAATTAAAAAATCTTTGATATAAAAATATGACACCTTAAACCTAACAAGTTAACAAAGTAGTAAGTGCTTATAACTAAAAATCTCAAGTGATATTAGAAGACTCAAGCACAACAGCCACCTGCTCCTTCCCTTCCCTGTTTTATGCCTCAGAGATAAGAACTGTGTACTCTTTGAACTGTTTCTACTGGGATGACCTCTTTATTTTTTATTTACAGCCTGGCCTCTTTTCAGTTCACCAATTTTTGGCATAATCTCTTGTTTTCCTACTTAACCAGGTATGCTTACCTAACTGAGAAGGCAAGTGGCTTTGTATATATTGACATGTAAAGCTCTTAGAATAGGTCCTGGCTTGAGGTAAGCTCCCAATAGGAGGTCATAATGAGTAGTAATTCTTGTTTTCTTTTTTTAAAAAAAGATTTATTTATTTATGAATACAAGAGCTGGGGTACAGGCCAGAGGTGCAGGGGATGAGAGGATTCACCAGAGACAGTGGGGAGCAGAACAGGCCGACTGACTGACTGAAACACACTACTGAGGGGGGCAGCAGGCAAGACAGGAGAAGTCTGTCACACCATGTGGGTCACCTCCCTGGCTGGGGATTGAACTTGTGCTGCAGTGGCTGTGGCCAGCTCCATGGTGCTGTGCTTTGATCGGTTGAGCCACCAGGGAGGGCCCTATCAGTGGTCTTACAATGATTAGTTTTCCTAAAACCTCGACATCTCCAAATTCACTTCCTCCTGGCCACCAACTATAAGAAAGAAGTCACATTGATTTGCTTCATAGAAATTAGTCAGGAACACCAGTTTTTCACAGAAAAGTCTATAAGGAAAAACGAAACATCAGAGGGTCTAGCTGACATCAGGCCTCTTCCAGATGCTCGTCAACTGGTCAAAGCTCACTTGGCTTTGGATGAACACTGCTTTCCACAACCATTTCAGCAAATGCATTTCCCCTTTTTCTTTCTTTTTGTTACTACTTTTAAAAACAGTACTTGGGCATTAGAGTTTTTAAATTATGGCAAATAATTTGAGTGGTAGATTTTTTTCTTTTTTCGTATATTTGCAGTGTGTATAGCCATCACCACTACCTAATTTAAAAAAAATTTTCTTTTTCCCAAAAGAAATCTGTGACTATGGCAGTCACTCCTTACCTCTTCCCCTGTTCCAGCCCTAAGCAAATAATAATCTTTGTTTCTGTCTGTCATTTACTTACTTGTATGTTTTATATAAGTGGAATAATACATTCCGTGATATTTTATGTCTCACTTCTTTTAATCAACATAATGTTTCAAGATTCATCCTTGTAGCATATGTCAGTACCTTATTCTTTTTTTTGAATAAGTAATATTCCATTGCATGGCTTGTCCACATTTTATTTATCAATTCATCAGTTGATGGACATTAAAATTTTCACCTTTTAGATGATTTGATTAATATTGCTGTGATCATTGGTGTTCACATTTTTATGTGATGCATTTTCTAGTGTATTACTAGGAGTGAGTGCATTATTGGGTCATGTGATAATTATGTGGAACTCTTTAAGGAACTGCCAGACTGTTTACGAAATGACTGCATCATTTTATATTCTTCAGCAATGATTGAAGTTTTCAGTGTCTGTACATCTTCACAAATATTTATTATCTGTCTTTTTCATTATTGACATCCAATGAGTATGAAGTGGTCATTTTATTTGTACTTCCCTAATGGTGACCAGTCCTCTTTTCATGTGCTTATTGGTTATTTGTCTGTCTTTGTCTTTTACATAAAAATCCTATGTCCGTTTTTAAGTTGTATTATTCGTTCTTTTTGTTGAGTTGTAAAACTTCCTCATGTATTCTGAATATAAATCTCTTGTCAACATAGATGACTTGCAGATAGTTTCTCTAGTTCTGTAGTTGTCATTTTACTTTCTTGCTGGCATCATTTGCACATAAAAAATTTTAGTTTTGACAAGCTCAATTTATTTTTTCTTAAGCTTTTCTTTTTTGGTGTTTTTTTCCAAGCAACTATTGCCTGACCCACTGTCATGAAGACCTTTATGTTTTCATTAAGAGTTATATAATTTTAGCTCTTACACTTAGATTTTGATACATTTTGAAATCAATTTTTGTGTATGATGTGAGGTAGGGCTCAACATTCCTCTTTCACCTGTGGACAGCCAGTTGTCCCAGCACCATTTGTTAAAAAGACTGTTCTTCCCATTGGATTGTCTTTGTGCCTCCTTAAGAACAATTAACTATAAATGGGAGGAAATGTCATTTTCCATAACAAACATTCATTGTTTCAGTTTTGAGTCACCATCTCTTAGAACTATTCAAAGGCACCTTTCTATAATATGGAAACGTCTTCCACCCTTTTTTGCAAATAGACTTAGTGATTAAAGTTTTTAATGATAACTTTCAGGATGAATATAGATTTGACTTAACTTTTATAGTAACTAGTATATAAATATTTGCTAAACTTACTTTTTTTTCTCCAACAAGGTAATTGCTGGCAGAGTCTTTTGTCTTTCTAAAGCCCCTGTGTCAACAGTCTCTCATTCTTTCAAGATTTCTTATTACACTGCTAATTGAAATTTGTAGCCTCTGGCTTTGGATACTTTTTTTAGATAAGGCTTAATTAAAGAATATGGAACCTGGAACTTTCTGATTTCACAGTAGTAATATTCTCTCCTTGTGTAATCAGTCACAGTCCCAAATGGGACAAGGAAGGAGCCCTTCACACTGGCTGTGTGTCCTCTGGACACAACCCAGTGGTTGTCTGGCTCGGTTTCCAGTGTAGTGTGATAATTTGTTAGAATAAAAGGTGCCTTAAAGTAATGGTGTTAAATAGAAGCTGGAAGTATGCTATTAATTTTTTTTTCAAGTATAAAACTTAAAAAAAAAACTCAACAAAAATGAGCTGTTAAAACAAAACGTAGAAAGGCCCTTGTGTTCCCATCTCACCCCTAGATGCAAATAAAGGGGAAGGTTTTGTTTATAACTTTGGGCATTTTTACATGTGTATATACATGTGAGAGTGCTTTATTATTATTTTAATATTATTGTCTAAAACAATTGTATAATGCTACATCTGATTTCCTTTTTTTTCCATCCTATACCTGTAATACTTCTCATTTTTTAAAAAGAGTTATTTATGTATGTATACAAGAACTGAGGTACAGGCCAGAGGTGGGTGGTACCAGAGACAGAGTGGGGAGCAGAACAGGTGGACTGACTGAAGCACATTGCTGAGGGGAACAGTGGGCAAGCTGCCATGTGGGTCAGCTCCCTGGCTGGGGATGGCACCCCTGCTGCAGTGGCTGTAGAGCTGCATAGTGCTGCGCCTTAACCCTTTGCCCCACCAGGGAGGGCCCAACACTATCTCATTTAATTATCAGATGTGATTCTCTTTTATTGGTTTATTTTGATTTATTCTTTTAGTCCCTTAGTAATGTATGGCTGAGCTGACTTGACTACAGATGTGTAATGAAAAGCAGAATGTACACATTCGCACTCGTGGTCATTAAATTAATGTCTCAGTTCTAAAAGTACCTTTTATACTTCATTGTGTTGCTTATAGTATAGCTTCTGTGACTGCCAGAAATACTGTTCTTTCTCAGCTCCTTGGTTGGCTTTGCCCCAAGGAGCACCGGAGGTCGGGAGGGTGCTGGAGGCAGGTGGGGTGAGGCTCTGTGGGTTTCCTTTTGATCTCACTGTTCCCTCAGTGCCGACCTGCAGCCTCCATGGTAGCATGGGAGATGCTCAGTTCCTGCTTCTCTAAGGATTAGCCTGTTCTCCCTTTGACTGTCCCCCTTAAGGGCCTTCCAGATGGCCCTTGTTCAGGTGAATCTCATCACACATCCCACTCAGATGACCTCCCCACAGATATCACCCCCACCTTTTACATCCCCCCTCGGAGTTCCCCTTTCTGAGGTTTCCCGTCATCCTCCATCAGACAGATCCCTCATCAGATGTCCTCTCAGACAGCCCCCGCTCCGATAGCTCCCTCAGATGCCTCTCCAAGATATCTCCCCTTCAGATATCCCCTATCTAAGTACCCAAAGGCTCCCTTTTTGAAGATTCACATTCATGTGTACCCCTAAAAAGCTCCCCTCAGGTGCCTCCCACCTTAGACATTTCTCCTCAGACTTCCCTTAAACAGCTCCCTTCAGACCTTCCTATGGGAGCTGCGCAGCCGTATCCCCCTGAGACAGTGGCATTGCCACCCTAACCCCTTGATATGCTGTCAGGTTGTGGTACCTGGACCATTTCTCTGGCTGTTCGTCATATAATTTTAGGAAGGAAGGTGTTTTTAGAAAAACGTGCAAGAGCACTTTTTCTGTTGCTTCATGTAGAGTTCTAGAGTGCTGGAGATAGTAGATATACTCAGTGCTCCTTGGATTCATGTTGTTCCTCTGTGTGACCCCAGTCAGCTGCTTCTACAATCTGTGGGGATTGTCCCAGACTCATCGTATCTCCACTGTGGGTGACTGAATGCTGTAGTGATGGTGTGTGATGGAGTTTGTGTTATGCTGCTGCTTCTCCCATTGATGGTGAAGTCCAAGTACTGGGTGGCAGAAAATAAAAATAACCCAGAATACTTCATAATTAGGGAATAACCAAAATTTCATAATTGTTGCTTTAGGAAAGTTGGATACTGTCACTAAAAATGGCATTTCTCCTAGCTTTAAAAGCTTTGTATTCATGGTTGGTTTGAAGAGAAAGTAGACATTCGATATGTGATTGCAGCTATGTTAAGACGCTCAGAAAAGAGCCAGAAAGGAAACACATCAAAATGTTAGCTTGCTTTTCTATAGGTGATAAAGTAAAGGGAGTTGATGTTTTAAGCTTTGCTATGTTTTCCATGTTATCTGAAATACTTGCGCATTTATTTTGTAATGCTAGTGTCTCCTCCCTTTCTTTAAAAATATAGAGCCAAAGACCTTTTTCTTATATATTCAGCTATTTTTTATCTGTCACAGGATGGCGAAACAGAAGAGAAAGCTTACTGAAGTGAGAGAGAAAAAGAACAAGAAGTTCAAGAAGGCATCAGCCAAGGAGGCACCTGAGGCCCCGCTGGGCACAGAGGAAGCATGCCCCGAGGTAGGTGCGCATGCTGCCTGGGAACCAGGACAGAGGGAAGCACAGGATGGTCATTGCTGGCGTCTGGGTAGTGCAGAGGATGGACCACGTTACATGAGCGCGTGCTAGTGTCACTGGAAGCCATGAAAGGAGAGATGAGAATTTCAGTCCATTTTAGCTTAGAACATGGTGACTGCCTTTCTTCAGCCCCCCAGACCTATACACTGCTGCTTTGGGGGATCTGTGTCTGAGCACACAGAGTGGACTAGATTGGCCCAGGGCAGACACCGGCTGATGAGAGCCAAGCTTGTAAGCAGTGCTTGGTGTGTGCAGAGAGGAAGGGATGCTCTTCACACAGAGGGGCTAGAGTGTGTTTAAACATTTGTGTCTAAAAATGTTTGTATCCAACACACAGTAAATCTGCCATGGAAATGTGTATATACTTTAAATTTGTTTTTCTGTTACAACCAAGTTCTGAAAGTTAAAATTTCTTTTCTTTACAACTCCTACTATACATTGATCAAAATTGCATAATGTATTACACATTTTGACACATTCTTCAGCCTAAATTAGAATTTGATTAGGTGTGCATCACATAATGGTGTGTCAGGGCTTCTTGTGTTTGTGCAGTGAATTCACGGGTCTGTGGGTGAATGCTACTTATTGCTTGAATGATTCTGGCTCTGTTCTGGTTTGTTCTGTTCCTCATGACTGACTGAGTAACCTGGTTCACATGAATAAGCAAACAAGAGCGGAAGTTCTACTGCAAGGTGTTGCTTAATTCCTTGAACTCTGGGACCTTTGTGTGGGTTTGGGCACATGTTATTAACATCTTTTTTTTTTTAAAGAGTTACCATTAAATGACAGCCTGACTTGGTCAAGGGCTTATTGCTGTCGCTCAAGCTAACCAGTATTTCAAATTATGCCTCTGCTTAGTGCCCTAGAAGGTTTATGGGGGTAGGAGATGAAAAGTGGGAGAGAGGCAAGGTACCATAGTGAGGGTCAGGGTGGCAGTGGCCTTCTATAAAATGGGAAAAGGACATTGTGCAGAGGGAGGATGGGAAGGAGGACTATTGTCAACACTTCGGCAATAGTCTAGTCTGAACCTTTTTCTTAATCGGTTCCAGCAGGAGTGGCCCTAGGGCCATGGGGGTGGTTACCTGTGTGCTTCAGAGGTCCTCAGGGCTTGATGGCTGGTGTAGTTACCCAGGACTCTGTCCAGTTAGGCAGCTCTGTGCTTTTGAGACTGTGATTCATTTGTGGCTGGAGGGCAGGAGAAGCAGAGTTTTGGTGTGGAGGAAACATTGTGTGGCAGGGCACGGGGAAACTGATGAGCAGAGAGCAGATGCCCGGCTGAGGCTGGGGGCCATTTCTCAGCTTACACTGGGTGTGTGGCAAAGCCCCGCTGATCCTGAGCTCCCCTCTCCCTGGGTTCTCTGTGGCCCAGAACCTACATGTACTGGCAGTGCCTGAAGGACAAGGACCCTCTCAGTGCATGGGCTCCATGCTAGGTCCCCTGTGCCCTGGCAGCTACTTCAGGGGGCTTCTCTGGCCACTGAAGCTTGAATGTAGACTCTGAAAATTCCTACAGAGCCTCAATTACATGTTTTTTTCCCCCAGGCCATTTCGAAGGCCACCACCTGCTCTTCTAGACTGCTTCCATTTCTCTAAAGTGAACTCTACACTGTAATTTTGGGATTTTCAAATTTCCAACTTTCCTTTCTTGATGACCTCTGTTTGCCAGTTGCTTGTCTCTGGCAGGACCCAGAACAGACATGGATAGAAATTTTGGCCTAAGATGAGTAGGGATAATCTTATTGTTGAATTCGGGTAGTTTTTTTAAAAGTATGTGATTGCTATTTGCTGGGTACATATTGATCCAAGGAAATTTGGAAAACAAAGGAGGAAAGAAGAAAGCATTTTGGTATGTGTCCTTTGATATCTAGATTTGGTTTGCTTTGTAATGTAGTGTGCAAGGTTCAGGCCAACTTTGGTTTCCACCATGGGATGGAGGAGCCAGTCGGAGGCAGCCTGCTGAGGCAAGGCTTCTAACACTTGTGACCTTGAGAGGGTTGGTCCCTGAGGAAAAAGGGGGCTGCTGTGTGGGAATGCATCTGGGTGCTCTGCCAGTCCTGGCCAGCAGGGGTCGCAGCCTCTCTGCCAAAGCTGTTGGCCTTTCCGATTTTCCTAAAGGTGTTGGAAGCCGGGGTGGAGTTGAGGCACCTGAAGGGCATTTGGTTGGTGTCTATGTAGCGGGTTCTGTGCTGAGGAGCACAGGTCCTGAAAACCCCTGGTATTCCTGAGGGCCAGTGTCCCTAGGAGATGGAGACATTTCTTCCTCAAGAAGACATCCTAGTCTCTGCTTATAAAAATACTTCTTCCCTCACTCTCTGGTTCTCGTGGGAAACTTTGAAAAAGAGGTGTGGGGCCTTTTGTTAAGGAGAGAGCATTGAATGCTGTACTGAAGTTGAAGAGGGGGTGTGGGCATCTGGGTCTGGAGAATTGCATTCCTGGGATCTGGTGGAAAAGATCACATTGTCTAACCCTCAGCCCCCACTTCCCCTGGTCTCCTGAGGTCCTCCCCCCACCCCCACTTCCCCTATGGTCTCCTCTGGGATCCACAGGGAAAGGGGAAAACCTCTTTCCCCACTTGGACCACTGTATCGTCTTCCTGGAAATGTCTGTCTGGGGAGGCCGCGGGTCCCTCTGCAATCTCTTCCCACAGCACAGTGCCTGAGCCCATGCCAGGACAGCTGAAGTGTCCCCAAGCCTGAAGCTTCACGGCCCTGGGGTGGTCTCCGCAGAGACTGTGGGACCAAATGCTCTCGTCTCTGTCCTGCCCTCTAGCATTGACTTTCCAGAGGCCTCCATCTGCCTCCTGTGAGACTCCGGTTCCAGGCAGTCAGGACCTGTCACTTCTTATGCTTTGTTTGCCCAACCATCTAGCCCATTCACCTCCCACCTGGAATAACAGAGAGGTGGCCCAGGATGTCCCCAAGACTAGAAACAAGCCCACATTTTCCCAGTCCTGCTAGAGGGGCTCATAGTTAGGGATGGAGTGGACAGGTATTTCCTCTTCTGAGGATGGTACTTAAGACCCATCATGTTTACACAGCACGAAACCTCCACACCAATCTGGACAGAACCAGGTTTCAGTCTGCTGTGACTCTTAAGGACTGGTTCCCATGTGAAAAGGATTCCACAGATTCAGAAGGAACTGCTGGCTCATTATCCTCAGGGATGGGTTGACAGGGCAGGTGAGGAAGGTGTTGGTCTGTGGCCCCCTCTCCACTGTCACATGGGAGATACTGGTGGTTCCCTCTGGCACACTCAGAGCCAGTTAAGTTTCTGCACTGGTTGGAGGCACCCAAGACCACTGTCCACCACTCTGTTGCTGTATGTGTGACTGTGCTGCCTGAAGAGGGGAGCAGTACAGGGAGGCTTGGACTCTCAGTCCTATTCTGTCCTGTCAGTCAGAACCCTGTGTTTGCAAAGCACCTTTCTTTACAAAAGCACTTCCTACCTGATTGTCAGCAGCCGTGAGGCATCAGGGCTGAGAGCAGGGCTGCCAGCTTCACGGTCTAGTCAAGCTTGGGTCACTGGCCCCGTCACCAGTCACCTGGCCAGGTAGCAGTAGACCATCTGGGGAGAGACTCATACTGGGGTTCTGTCTGGTAACCTTTCAAAGCCCAAGAGAGGAATGACACCTGTTCCTAAGCCCTTAGTATAACTGGACTGCATTTGCTCATCAGTGGTGGCTCAGCCATGTAGCGTCCGCCTTGCCAAATTCCATATAAGGAGATACCCTGCTCTGTTTGGCATCCACTCTCACACTCACTGTTGATGGTGTTGGTGGGAGAAGGCCTCAGTGTGTGGTCCAGACTGTCCCACATTCAGAGTGCCTGTCTGGAGTGCAGTGACAAGTGACTGAGGAAGGATGACAGCCACTGTAAGCTGTCAGTGAGCTGGCTGGCTCCCAAGTTCCCAAGGGTGGCCTTGCATGTCCCGTGGAACGTGACCAGTGGAACAGCTGGGCTGCAAGGTCAGCCCTTTGCTCTGCTTGCCCTCTCGGGGTCATGGAATGTTGTTTATGTGGAAAGGAAACACAGCTACTCAACATGGACCATCCTATTCCCATTGTAATCTTGAAAATCAGGCAGGAATTAACATGGGCATCAAGCCTACAAGCTCTTTAGAAAACCATCAAATGAGGTTGTGAACTGCTCAGCCTTGAGAATTTGCTCAGAGCCAAAAGACTCCACTCCAGTGGTATTTGGCCTCGGAAAAACTACTGACCCTGCTGTGAGTATTTGTCCTTAGACCACTGGGGACAAGGATTTGCTAATCTTTGCTAATCTTTACTAATAGCTCCCTAGGAGCCTGAATTTGCCCTTTTGGGTAGAAGTTTCCCTCTTTATCATTTTTGTTTCCTCCTTACTGATTCCATCTGGAATCATAAGCTGGCAGATGTCTCCAGAGATCGTTATCTCACATGTAAGAAAACCTAAGCCTGCAAAACTAGAGCCCTCCTTGAGCCATGTAAGTCTTTCCGACTACTGCTCTGTGTCACTAAGCAAGTGAACTCTGTTGCCCTCTGTGTTCTTTTTCATGGCTTAGTAATATTCTATAGGATTTATTTTTACATTGGCCACCACACATTTGTTTCTCTACTCCTGCCTTTTGGACATTTGGGTTGTGTCCAGTTTGCCGGGAACATTGTGTATGAAGCATTCTGTTTTTGTTTCTCTTGGATAAAATACTGGGACTGGGATGGATCGAATGTTAAATATTTACTTTTCAAAGATGGTGCTAAGCTGTTTTCCAAAGTGACTGTATCACTGTGCATTCCCACCAACAATAAATGAGGTTTTTAGGTACTTCATGTATTTGTCAGCATTTGGTGTTGTGTTTATTTTCAATTTTCATTCTTTGTTGTAGTCATATTGTATGTGTGTTTTTAAAACTGCTCTATATCAGGGTATATCGGGGTATAATAGAGAGTAAACTGCATGTATTTAAAG